CATGGCCGGGGCGAGCAGGGGCAGCGTGGGGCGCGGGCTCCGGGAGCGGACGCGAGCGAGCTGGCCTGGCTGCGGGGCGAGGCTGGGGCGCGGGCAGGAGCCTGGCGGGCGGCGGCACACGAGGCGCTCTCGGCCGAGGCTGGCACGACTGGACCGGCAGCGCGGCGGCGAAGACGTGCGGAAAGCAGGAAGCAGCTGTCGCCGTGGCCCGGAGCCCCTCCCCGGCGGGCGGGCCCAGCGGCGGCGGCGGCAAGAGGGCGCGGGCGGCGCCGTGCGTGCGCCGGGCCGGGCGCACAGCTCCCTCTGCAGGAGCGCCGGGCGCGCCCGCGCCGCCGAGCACACGGGCCGCCGGGCTGGGGACGCGCCGCACCCGCGCAGACCGCTGGCCCGGGCCACCGCGCCGGACACACGCTGGGGAGGGACCCGCGCCCGCCGGGGACGCGCCCGACACGCCGGTCCGGCCACCGCGCAGGGACACGGCCGATTATGCCGGCGGGGGCCACCCCTCCTCCCGCTTCGCCATTGCCCGGCTCGCGGGACCTCCCTAAGGGAGCGAACAGCAGAGGTTGCTTTTGAATTGACTCCCCATCTTCCTGTTTGGGGGGCTGGGTAGGGCCGCAGAGACGTGGCCTCCCCCTAGCCGTGAGAGCAGAGGGCTTGAGGTGGCCTAATTTCCACTGCCTGCCACTCTGACTCTGGACAGGGAAGGGAAGGGGTAATGGATCGTGATGACCAAGGAGGAAACACATCTCCCAGAAGTTCAGCACCCCTGGTGGACATGGGGCGGTTTGACATCCGGATTATGGAGATGTGTTGAGATGTTGGTCGGACAATGGATGAGCCCTTATTTGAGATTTACCAGTTAAGAAGGAACCAAGGTGGGAGGGCTGGAAATCACCTAAGGTCTTTCGTTCATTCTAGTGGGTTCTTTTTTTCCTCCTCTGCTGATATGTTTGTTTAGTGAACACCTACTGTGGTCCCTGTGGGGAGGGGGTGGGGGTGGGTACTAGACTAAGATGCTTGACCTCACACCCAGGACAATTTAATAATTAACATTTCTTCATCCTTGGGCTAGTGATGATGTGTTCTTGCTTTCTGGCCTATCTGGAAGAAGCTTTATACCCTCAATCATCACAGCTGTGGTGTGTTCCTAATGTGTTTTGTACTCCTGGTTTCTTCAAAGTCCTGGGAGAAGGTCATAGATGTGACCAGAAAGTTCTTCACATCCTGAATTCCAAGTGCATATGGTAACTACTGTAAATTCCTGTCTTTTGTATTATTGTCTCAGTTCCCTGCCTCACCCATAACATAGTTCAGTGTTTCTGTTCATGGTGGGATGTTTTATAATAGTTTTTTGTGTATGTTCCCAGGACTCCCTCCTTGGGCAACCTGAGAATCCTCAGTGCTGGGGGAGCTCACCCTACTGATGCCAAAGTTAGTGCGGACAAACTCAGGGACATAGCACACTACAGCCCAGCATCCCCGATCCCACTCAGCTGGTCTAGGGGCTGCCTTCTGCCACTTTTGGAGTTCTTTAGGAGCAACCCGGAATACATGATCCAGCAGATCTCCTAATAAAAACAGTAACAGTAATAATAGTTAAATGCTTATTGAGTGCTTCTTAAATGCCAGGAAATTTTCTTATTTAACTTTGTGAGATAAAAACTAATATTATCCCACTTTTACAGTTGAGAAAACTGGGGCTGGCTTTTGCCCAGGACTTCACAAATAGACCCCCCTCCCCCCGCAAAAAAAAGGAAAGATAGAGCTAAAATTTAAACCCAGATCACTCTGATGCCAGCACTCATTCTTTCTTCTTAAATATGTTTTTATTGATTTTTTTTTTTTTTTTAGAGAGAAAGGAAGGGAGAGAGAGATAGAAACATCAATGTGAGAGAAAAACATTGATCAGCGGCCTCCTGTACACCCCCTGCTGGGGATTGAGCCAGCAGCCTGGGCATGTGCCCTGACCAGGAATAGAACTCAGTCCATGGGACAGTGCTCAATCCACTGGGCCACATTGGCCAGGCCCAGCACTCTTTCTAACACTCTGACCATCTCCCTCTACATAAGTAGGATCTCCCTCTGTGATCTACAAGGATACCAATTAATAGGTGGAACTTCCCTAGGACTTCACTTTAGTGGGACCTAAAGTAGAAATTATGGGAATGTGATATGCAAAGGACAAATCAAACCTCGGGTATCATCCTCTGTTTCTCTCCAGGCAGCTATCCTGGTGGCCAGCTACTCTGGGCCATAAAAACCAAAGGTTTGTACGTGGCTCAGACAGTGTATTAGGCTACCAGCAATATCTTGTCTGCGACTGCAATGAGGTGGGGTGGAGAGGAAGACAAGATAGCACTAGTCCCCTCCCCTTGCCCAGACAGATTGTACACTACTTATATTTGCCACATACTTGTTATGTAAACCTCTTAACAAAACACATTTTACAGAAGAGGAAAAGGAATCTCAGCAACTTTAAAGGAATTTGTCTGAAGTCATCACACAGCTAAGGTAGAGGCAAGATTCACATTCATCGGTTGACCTCAAAGCCCATGCCCTACCTTGTCCACAGAAAGTGAAGAAAAGGGAAGTATTTGAACCATCTCAGAAGTAAAAGTGCCACCTCCAGAATTAACACCCAAGCACCCTTTGACCTGTCACTGCACACTATTTCAGGGGAAGTATAGAAGTTAACACTGGGAGAACTCATGCTCTAACCTAGAATAACCCATTCCCACACACCTGGGTAGATGGAGGCTAAGAGAGACAGAAGGACCTCGAGGGAAGCCTGCAGTTTCTCTTTTATTGTCTGACATCAGGCTTTGTACTGAGTTAACCAGAGTCATGTTCCTACGGAGGCCGGCTAGTTATCACAGATAGCTTCTTAGCTGACTCAGCCCTAACCCAAGTTTTTGTCAAAGCATCACTTACAACCACATATAGTAATCCTAGAGGAAAGAATTCTTGTAAATGCACAGGGATGCTTAGTCAAGGGGCAAATGGGGGCTGACATCCATCTCACTCTCCACTTGCCACTCTGTTCACACTGGCACTGGCTGCATTCACCTGGAGGAAGGGCTGTCTTTATGTTCTCGCAAAGGTTGCTGGGAAGGGGCTGCATCTGCCCAGGGGAAGGATATTTCTTTAATTCACACGAGAGTGCCATCTTGTTAGCACCCCTTACAGACTGATGCCTTGCCCATCTGGTGTGGCTAAGTGGTTGAGCGTTGACCCATTCATCAAGAGGTCACCAGTTTGATTCCTGGTCAGGGAACATGCCCAGGTTGTGGGCCTGATCCCCAGTGTGGGGCATGCAGGAGGTGGCCAATCGATGTTCTCTCTCATCAATGTTTCCATCTCTCTCTCCCTCTCCCTTTCTGTCTAAAACCAAAAAAAAAAAAAAAAGACGGATGTCTTGGGTGCTGCCTGGATAATCCATCTTTTAATTTGACTCTGGTTTCCATGTAGCTAGCTAAACTACTAATTGGTGAATTCAGGCTTTTCTGACTACTTTCCCCCAAAGATTTATATTCCTTTTTCCAGTGTAACTTCTAATAAAAATTCTATATATTCTTGTAAATCAAATACCTGTACGGCATCCTGAAGTGTGAAACAGCCTAGAATAAGAGTGAGGTTCTCTTCCTGGCTCTGCCACTGATGGTTTCCTTGGCTTTGAATGAGTCCTTATATCATCAGTACTTTTATCTATAACATGAGAGAATTGGATCCATGGTTTCAGAGAATTCCACGATTCTGATTCTTAGTGAGAACTAAAGTGGGGATGTAGGAGCTTCAAAACTAACTCTGGAATTAAGAATGAAACTGCTCTGGAGGGTGTGATTTATGCCTTGTGAACAGATGGGGGTGAGTGTGGGCAGTGGTTGTCCACTGAAAGGGCGGGCTTCCTCTGTAGTTTCAAACCATCCATGAGGGCAGATTGGGTTCAGAGGCCATCACAGGGCCTATAGTCTGTACTAAATTATGGATCTGATCTTTTCAAGTGCTGTTTCCTTCGAATACCCTTTTCTTGATTTAGGCCTACAGTTAAAAGGATATATGAGGTGTGTGGAGTACAGCTGTGAAATCTAAGTCTCCACTTCCTCCTACCCTTCTCAACTCAATGCCTGACTGAACTAAATACTGGAATGAGTGGATAGAGCTGAATTCAATCCAGATGAGAATTTTGGGCAGAGAAAGTAGATGAGCAATGAATCTGGAGCATGTTTCTAGTTCAGTTCATGGGACTTATCTTTACCATTTCATTTTTTTTTTCTTTATTGATTTTAGAGAGAGAGGAAGGGAGAGAGAGATAGAAACATCGATGAGAGAGAACATCGATTGGCCGCCTCCTGCATGCCCCCCACTGGGGACTGGGCCCACAACCTGGGCATGTGCCCTCACCAGGAATCGAACCAGCAACATCTTGGTGCATGGGTTGATGCTCAACCAGTGAGCCACACCAGATAAAGATAGCTGGGCTATCTTTAGCATTTCTTTTTTTTTTTTTTTATCCTCACCCGAGGATATTTTTTTTTCCATTTTTTGTACAGATAGAGTGGGAGGGAGAGAGAGGAAGGGAGAGAGAGTGAGAAACATCGACGTGAAGGGACACATCGAGTGGCTGCCACCCGCACGACCAACCAGGGCCGGGGACAAACTGCAACCGAAGTACGTGCCCTTAGCGGGAACCGAACCTGGGTCTCTCCAGACCGCAGGCCGACGCTCTAACCGCTGAGCCAAACTGGCCAGGGCTATCTTTAGCATTTCTAATGAAGTTTTCCAGTTAGGAAAATTTCTAGATCTGAAGAGAGGAAACTCTCCCTACCCTAATATAAAATGAAACTGTATTTAACTAGAGAAAGATGAAAATGACCTATTCATCTGTTTTAAATTAAGAACTGAGAATTTAAAACTATTAAATAAATTTTATATGTTATTAAAAAATGTGTTAGAGAAAAATGTGTTAGTTTAAAATTATTGGCAATAAAAGTAGAGGAATACTTACTTGGCAGGGGAGATACCATGGTCGCGAAGGTGGTTTTCCCAGGGCGAAGCTTGTCCTTGGCGCTCCGGATATGCTGACCCCTGCGATTTCCCCAAATGTAGGACACGCAATTGCACAATTTGTGGTAGTGGGGGACTGCATTCACACTTTCCCCTGGGGAAGAAAAAAGTAGAGAGGAGAGTCAAGATTCAGAAGGAGAAGAGGGAAAGAAAATAAAACAGACAAGGCAAGTTGGAGAGACAGCACCCAGATTTGCTAATATCAAGACAAGCAGGAGAAGATAAAATGGAGACAGACAGTAAACACGTGAACACATGCAGACGATACGAGTTGAGCACACAGATAGTCTTTCATGGAACGGCGCCTCGTCTCATGGCCTTTAGAACACGAATGGTAACATTTTTAAGTTCTATTGGAACTTTTACAACTCTGGGATAATTAATGATGTGACCTCTTGGTGTTTTTCTTACTATTTTAAGCTAAGCAGATATCTGACCTGCACATTCACAGTTCTCCACTCTGCTCGTATCTCCAGTTTTCTCTGGAGTCACCGGGTAGCAACCGGACTATTTTCCCATTTACTGCCCCTTCCCTCTGCACGGGTATTGTCTTGAATTAGTAAATTCAAGTTCACTGTGCTGGTCTCATTTGACATTTATATTTTAACCATTTCACAAGAGATCACAGTGTAGTATTATAGCCTCTAATAAGTAATGTGTGCTGGGAAGCATCAGTCTTCAGTCCATTACCTTCTGCATTTTTAAAGATTCAGTCAAACCTAAAGAGCTTGGTGCCTAGTTGGTGTAGGGGTTGCCCCAACCCCTAGGACAACCTAAGGTCTCTAAGCCTTCTCTTGCTGATGGCTCAAATTCCATTGAAACGCAGCTGACAATTCCTAGCTCTATACAGGTCTTACCATTTTCTTGTTTTTGGGGGGGTGGGGGTGGGGAAGAGAAGAAAGAATCACTTGATTGCTTTATTATTTGTTTGTTTTTATGGTGGTGTTGTTTTTTTAATCCTCACCCAAGGATATTTTTCTATTATCTTCATATAGAGTGGGAGGGAGAAAGAGAGAGAAAGGGAGAGAGAGAGAGACATCGATGTGAAAGGGACACATTGACTGGTTGTCTCCCACATGACCCCGAGCAGGGCCAGGGAAGAATCACAACCAAGGTACATGCCTTTGGCTGGAATCGAACCTGAGACTTATTGGTCTGTGGACTGATGCTCTACCTCTGAGCCAAATTGGCCAGGGCTGTTTATTTGTTTTTATAGAAAAATACTACATATTTAGGCAAGAAGGCAGACTAGATAGGTCCCGCTAAATAAAGAATTGCTTCCCTGGCCGGTTTGGCTCAGCGGTTAGAGCATTGACCTGTGGTCCAGAGAGACCCGGTTCGGTTCCCACTAAGGGCACATACCTCAGTTGCAGTTTGTCCCCGGCCCTGGTTGGTCGTGCGGTGGCAGCCACTCGATGTGTTCCTTTCACATCGATGTTTCTCTCTCTCTCTCTTTCTCTCTCTCTTCCCCTCTCTCCCTTCCACTCTATCTGAACAAAAAAATGGAAAAAATGTCCTTGGGTGAGGATTAAAAAAGAAAGAAAGAAAGAATTGCTAATGTATTGCTAGGTTCTCAGGCACACCTCTCTCCCTCCCTCCACACAGTGAGCAGGAAAACAGGGAACAATGGGGTTGTCAGGATAAAGTTCTATGTAAATGGTACCCTCTAGATTTGTGCGTGTAGGTTCCCTGTACACACTCCAGAAAGATGCCCTGGAAACAAATGATTGTATCTGTGTTGTCTATCACAAGGGGCATCTGGGAAGGAGAGCATCCTAATGGGGGCCCAGGGATTTTCTGATTAAATAACCACAGTTTAACTCACAATCACAGAACGTGCAAGGAAATGATACTGGCTTTTAGTCTGTAGCATTCGTCAGCGTTTTCATACTTCTCTGATATCCTCTGTCCTGCAAAGAGCTGTGAGCCTGAAAACTATGTTTCCTAAATGCCCTTGTCAACTGGGTTCTTGCTAGGTCCTTTCAGTGGAAGGAAACAGATGAAAGGGGGAGGAGGAGAGGAACTATGTTTTTCCTCTGCCTGGTTTCTGGCAATGGCCGGCACCTGCAGATCACTGCAGACTGCAAGAGTGGCACAGTTGGATCCATGGTGGGGAACCTTGCATCCCCAAAGAGTCGGCAGCAAATTCAGAAATTTCAAAGGGACTGGGGACCTACAGACTCTTGCTTGCAGTCTCAGTGGGAGTGAAGCTGTGGGCTCCCTATGGAGTGATGGTAGTAGTAGGTGACAGTGGTATGGGTGCAGTATCTGCAGCTTTGTGCTCGTGGGGTCTGGATGACACCACTTAAGATTTTGTTCCTTCAACCTTAGGAGAAAGAGTGGCTTCTGACAGATACTTATCTTTAGGTAACATCACCTTCCCTTTTTTCTTTTTTTAAAATTTTTCTTTATTCTCACCCGAGGACATTTTTTGATATTTTGTTCAGATAGACTGGGAGGGAGAAAGAGAGAGAGAAAAACATCGATGTGAAAGGGACACATCGAGTGGCCGCCACCCACACGACCCAACCAGGGCCGGGGACAAACTGCAACCGAGGTACATGCCCTTAGCGGGAACCGAACCCAGGTCTCTCTGGACCGCAGGCCGACGCTCTAACCGCTGAGCCAAACCAGCCAGGGCCACCTTCTCTTTTTTAATCTTCACCCATCCCACATGCATAAAAAAAAAAAGGAAGGAAGAAAGAATTGCTAATGTATTGCTAGGTTCTCAGGGACACCTCTCTCCCTCCCTTCTTATATTAAATTCCTTCTCTTTAAAATTTTTACCATAGTTCTTTTTTTCTACCTAGACATTCTTTTAACCATGAATAAGAGTAAGACAAAAAAAACTAAGCAATATAAGTAGACCCTCTGAGGGTTTTAGGTATTGGATAGATCAAGTACATCATATAGAATGCCAAGATATGAAATATTTCCAGAAAAAAAAGGTCACCCTCAAATAGTAAGCTAACAAGAAGGTACAAAAATGACCAATTGGATTTGGAAAATATATAGACATATAACTTTCAGAAATAAAAAATTAGTGAAATTAAAAAAATCATGAATAGGTTAAATATCAAATGAATAAGTTAGAGAATTAGTGAACTAAAAGAAAATAGCACTAAATGCAACACAGAGAGACAAACATAAAAATATGAAAAGAAAGGAGAAATATTAAATGTGAAAACATAGGGAAAACATTTGATCATCTCTATACATTAAGAAAAAACAATCCTCTACTCATTCATGAAAAAATCTCAAGGGCAAGCAGGAATAGAAGGGAACATCCTTAACCTGATTAAGGTAACTACAAAGAGCAAAAGCAAAGACCAAAACACTCAACCCTACCACTGTCATTTTAAATATGGAAACACTGGAAGCATTCCCTGTATAATCTCAAAAGAAGAACAAACACGCTATTATCCCCACTTCTGCTCCACATTGCACTGGACGATTAGAAAGGAGAAAATAAAACTGTCATTATTTTTATATGATATCATTGTTTACTTAGAGAACAAAGCATTTGCCAAAAAGTATTCAAAACAATCAGAGTTGCTCACTGTGGTTGGATATGTGATCAACATGCAAAAGTCAATTGCATTTTTAGATGCATGAACAAACAAGTAGAAGATTATTATTTTTTAAACTGATTTATAGTGGCAATAAAAAGCATAAAGTATCTGGGAGTAAATCTAAAAAGATGTACAAGCCCTGGCTGGTTTGGCTCAGCGGTTGGAGCGTCGGCCTGTGGTACAGAGAGACCCGGGTTCAGTTCCTGCTAAGGGCACGTACCTCGGTTGCAGTTTGTCCCTGGCCCTGGTTGGTCGTGCGGGTGGCAGCCACTTGATGTGTCCCTTCACGTCGCTGTTTCTCTCTCTCTCTCTCTTCCTCTCTCTCCCTCCCGCTCTATCTGAACAAAAAATGGAAAAATGTCCTCGGGTGAGGATAAAAAAAAAAAAAAAAGAATAAAAAGATGTACAAGATTGGACCATAGAAAATTAAAATACTTTTCTGAAAGACATGAAAGAAAACCTAAATAAATAAAGAAATATCCCATGCTATGTTTAATATTGAAAATATGTCAATGGCCTACAAGTTGATTCGTAGATACAATGCAATCACTGTTAAAAATCTCAATACTTTTATTTTTTGTGGAATTTGAGAAGCTGATTCTATATGGAGGAGTAAAAGGCTAAAAACTGTCAAAACACTAAGGAAGGCAGGCAAGCTTTTCCTATCAAGAATTAATATTAAGCTACAGTTAATTGAGATGGTATGGTATATGAACATAAATAGGAAAATGGAACAGAATAGAATAGCGAAGAATAATTTCACAAACGCAGGGAACTCTGATATATGACAGCAGTGTTATTGCACATTAGTGGGGGATGGAGAAACTATTTAATAAACAGAGTCGGAATAAATGCTTATCTTTATCTATGAGGAAAGAAGTAAAATTGTTTACCCACCTCATCCCATACCAAAATAAACTCCAAAAATAAACCACACAATGAAAATGCCCAAAAAATTAACTCTAAGAGGATTACAACTTAAATTTCAAAAGCTGAACTTTAAGACTTAAACAAAAATATCGTTCTTATCTGGGGCTAGGAAAACGTTTCTCAAACATGGCACACACAAAAAAACATATTGATTAATTTCACTACATTAAAATAAAGAACTTCTAGACATCAAAGGAGGCTTTAAGGAGAGTGGGAAGACAGGCAGGGGTTTGGGTTTACGGCAGCCCCGTCCCCCTGGGTCTCTGCGGTGCCCCCGCCAGAGCAAACGGGCCCGGAACCCCTGCCTGGCCTCCCTGGGTCTCTGCGGTGCCCCTGCCAGAGCAAACGGGCCCGGAACCCCTGCCTGGCCTCCCTGGGTCTCTGCGGTGCCCCCGCCAGAGCAAACGGGCCCGGAACCCCTGCCTGGCCTCCCTGGGTCACTCGCGGTGCCCCTGCCAGAGCAAACGGGCCCAGAACCCTTGCCTGGCCTCCCTGGGTCTCTGCGGTGCCCCCGCCAGAGCAAACGGGCCCGGAACCCCTGCCTGGGCTCCCTGGGTCTCTCGCGGTGCCCCTGCCAGAGCAAACGGGCCCGGAA